AAAAAAACCCTAAAACAAACTGTGGTAGTGACTTGGTAATTAATGATACCTTTTGGCTTCTATATTTTGTTCATTAAACGTCTCCTACTTCCTGTTTTTCTCTTTGTTGTAGGAGATGGTTTAGACAACAGTGTAGCCTCACCTGGTACAGGAGATGATGATGACCCAGACAAGGACAAAAAGCGTCAGAAGAAAAGAGGCATTTTCCCCAAAGTAGCAACAAATATCATGAGAGCATGGCTTTTCCAGCATCTCACAGTAAGTGGTGCCCAAAACCAAAACAGATTTCTATTCATGTGCCTAATGAGGTTTATTAATCATTAATAGAAATCAATTGTCCCCATAATTTTTGGACCATTACTAGGGCTCAGTTTTTGTTGCTTTTTTTTTCTTCTGGATTTTTTTTTCTTGGGTCTTGGAATCATGACAAATCTCAAAGAAATCTATCTATATATGTGTGTATATATACACATATACATGCCTATAGAAAGAAAAAGAGAGAGAGTACAACGCCTTAGCATGGAACATCAGCTATATATGAAGTAACCAATTTTGGCTTTGAACTATTCAAAATCTTCCTACAGACAACAAAAGGGGGGTTCTTGCTTTAGCGCATATAAAGTTCTGCCCTCTGGATTGTTTATTGCTGGCCTCTGTTTACACAAACTTCATATGTATGTGGTGAAAGAGGGAGCCCTGGTCTGTGCATGTTGACATACACTGTGGATGTTAGGGAGTCAAAGGAGCAGCTTGTAAACTTGTCATCGTTACTTTTTTGTGAGAAATATAGAAGGCTTCCAGATTCCCTAATTTTTCAGTTGTGTAACAAAGAGAATAAGCACCTTTTTAGCTTCTCTTCAAGTCCATTAATATTAAAAACTAACCATAATCACATTTGAGGGAGAGAGATTAAATATGTGACATAGCAATGCTTTCCGTAGTCTGTCTTTATCCTCTTCTTGCTATTGGTTTTATGTGTTGGTGTTCTGTTGTCATTATAGCTTCACTTAGGCATCAAAACACGGTTCCATAGAAAATTTATGGAATCACTGTTTGTAGTTTATTTCATGTGGGAAATAATGGAAACTGGTAAAATTATCAATTTATTTTCTTCTTCCTCTCACTTTACAACTGTTTCTCACTTGATAAGGCTTAAAAAGCTAACTGTAATTAACTACCTCTTCTTCTACCAAAGTTTTATAAATTTTCACGGTAGCTGATGTTGGTTACTGAGTAATGATTTCAGGACCCGATCTATTTATGATAGGGACTACTGAACTGCTCTGCTAGCAGCACAGCTAAAGGGGGGAGTGACAGATTCACATTTCTAAACCATCATTTTGATGTAAGGACATTAGTAGCAAACTAAGGTGCATTGATCTGGCCTGTGGGGTCAGGATTAGCTGGAATAGCCAGTGTCTCCGCTGGAGTAGTGGTTATTCCTGCCTCCCAGCTATGGCCATTTCAAAGGTCAGGTGCCCTGTACCCACTTGGCTCAGAGGAATTAGACAGAACATGAGTCTCTGGGCTGATTACTTAACCAAAGACAAAATAATGAGTCCTAAGCAAATACTGACTAATTGAAAGGGCTGTAAATCCATTACATATTGGTCAGGGATAATCAGGAGTATTTAATCACTTTTATCTATTCAGGAGCACTGAAGCTGCAACAGCAAAGCCCTGAACCTTGCCATGTGCTTATTATTCTCATCATTATCAAAATTACTTCACAGCTGTTCTTTGCTACATCACCTCAGCTGGAGATTTACTAACCTGTAAAATGTTTTTAATTTGGAAGTCGAGTGAGTGTGAGTGGAAGGTTTTTCATTCAGCTGTAGGGTATCTTTAGAGGAGTATCACAGGCAGACAGTGAAAAGCAGGGCCACAAATAAATAAGTTTGGTTTGTATAGACATCTCTGTACTAACTCCATTTCCTGTTATGAAATTTGCGGTATCTTGTTTTTTTCCCCCGCTTTTCTCTCTTATGTGCTCCTTGAAAGCATTTGACACTTGCTTATTAAACAGTCAACTGCCTCTTGCTTGTCTTGAGGAAAGTCGTCCTGGCTTTTTGAAATCCCTTTTCCTTGTTTCTATTCTCTCTCCTGACCCTCTCCATCCTGCATGAATTAAGGAAATCTGCCACCACTGGTGAGGATGGCCTCACAGAAATCAGATTAAATGAACACGAAAAAGCCTCAAACCTTTTACCATCCAGGCTTTAATGAGTTTGCAAGTGTTGAAAGATTTACTGTGCTGTAATTCTCAGACCTGCAAACTGATAATGGAGACCCCTGACCAGTGCAATGTAAATTCAGAAAGATTCTTGCCATAAACACGTGCAGAGAAGGAAGAGGGCTCCTTTCTTTTAAAGATCCCACACTTTTTCTCAAATTAGCTTGTCCATTCAAAATGCAGTGCTGGCTGAACCAGAACGGGGGAATCTGTGATGTACAATTTTATTGTTTCAAGTAAATATCTTTACAATGGTGGTCCATGATTCAATGTACATTCCTTCATTACTAGTCTAAGGTTATTTCAAATTGGTTTGTTCCTCCTTTGTGCTGTATGACCTGTTCATGTATTACAATAATCCCCTGATGTACCCTTTTTTTTTCTCCTTTTTTTTTAAAGAAACTAATTGAATTATCTCATTATTTTAATTTGTTAAGCAAATGTATTTTACGTCTCAGGATGTGTTCTTAAAGAAGGAGCTGCTTAGGCTTTGGCCCCTGAATGGGCCATTGGTACATTTTGACATTCATGCATTCATTAAGGAGGGGAACATAAAAGAGCTCTGGATGTATTTTTTTTACAAACACCCAACCAGCATGGAGCAACTTTTCCATAAGCCACAGGGGTCTCTCTACATATGTTCTCAACTGCAAGCCATTGTCACCTATTCTGAATACCTCAAAAGGACAAATAAAATACTAAAGGCCAACTGTAGCAATTGTTAGCTGTTAGTCTCAATATGACAAAAATCGTTAACCTCTGGTTTCCCTGGAAGGAGAGGCAGTGGCAGGCAGTTCATCTCTTATGTCATGGGTTAAACCTGAAAGTCCTTTAGACTGTCAAATTCCAAAAGAGTAACTCAGTTCTGACTAATTGTATTTACTTATGATTTTAAATAAAATGCTATTTTTTTCTTTTATTCAATTGGTTTGCAAACTCCTAAGGCAGTCAATTTTAAAAATTGAATGGCCTAAGTGGCTTTTTTGAAGAGACAGGCACTTGAACTCTGATGTAGAATGAATGTGTCTGACAGGCTGTATCTTTCAAAACAATTTCTAACCCCTATCACAGCTTCCATTTTGCAGTAATTTTAATTATATTTGAAATAGAATACACATGCATGTTTTTATTGTTGCAAATCAAATGCAAGGAGCAGGAGCTTCTGTCATATTCTCATTCACTTACTGAGCTCTGTCTTACATTTAGAATTACAACAGTACCAGAAGATGAAAGATCTAAGGATGAATTAGCTGGAAATGTGTATGCTATTTCTGGATAATATCCAGTGTTTAAAAGCAGAGGAAATCCTAGTCTGGTGGTATAAGCTTTTCAATAGTACATAAAAATTACAACATCAGAAAGGTAAACCTGACATTTAAGGCTGTTTTTACTTGAGTTCAAAGGTGGTTAAAGAAAAGAAACAACAAGAAATCTGACCCAAGCCATGAGTTTATTCATAGCTTTGGAAGACCCCTTTTCCTCTACGCCCAGGATTCCTTAGTACACTCAATTAGCCTCTCAGACATCTCTGCTTTCCTCCCTCAAGTGCTCCCCTATTTTCCCTGCAAAGAACATATTTGATCACAAAGTGAAAACAGGAAGTGCTCAAATGTATAGACACCTCCAGCTTATGCCAGTGTTGAGATTAGGATTTCTTACCAGGAACTATACAAAGTCAGTCCCCCTCCTCCTATGACCTTTTGAAGGATGGAGGACCTTTGAAATATATGTACATAATCAGAAGAGAGGAAAGATATAAAGGAAGTAATTATACCATTCTATGGACTTGTACCTCTGGTAGTTCATCCGTTTCTACATCATAGTGTGCCAAGGACTACATTTTTTCACCTTCTTTTAGAAAGCTGGTTTATTCTTTGACACTTACCTGGAGTGATGCCCTTTGTTAAAATTCTATTTTGGTTGTTTCTTTTGTTACAGTCTGCAAGAAGATGTGTATCTTAACTAAAAGTACCAGATTTAACAATGGTACCCTGCAAACTAAACCTTTTTTATAACAGTGCCAGGTTCCTAGCTGATAGTATTTGGGATGTCTCCATTGAAGTCAAGGTAGTCGAGCTGGTTTTTTTTTTCTTTTTTTGCTAGCTGAAATTTTGTCTTCTAAAACTGAACAGTGTCATTTTAGCCTGATTTCCACAATCCTATGGCTGAAAATCTTACTCTTTGCACAGTATACTGTAGAATAGATTTTGATTTCATCTGCTTCATTGTCAGGCTAGAGTAAGCTCTCCTGGAAAGTGTTAAAATGAACCACCCACAGCTTTTGTACTTACCTGAATTAATTTTCTTAACTTGTCATATTCAGGTGTCCAGACTGGATGATATGAATAGTCTTACTGAAACAGATTTACTTTTTTCTGTATTTATGTGGGTGTATCTGAGAATATAATGTGAATCTATCATATCTTGATGAATGGTTTATCAAGCCTTTTATGCAGGGCAGCTATTTTATTTATTCATTAGACTTGATTCTAGAGACGAATGTCATCAGCCAAACCCAATCTTGGAGCAAATGTTCAAAGAGTTTGAATCCATCCCACCTCCATAAATATCTCCTCCTATATTGTGATTTTAGGAATAATACCCTAAAGGAAGGTTAGGAACATAGCTGGCTATTGCACTCCATACTGAACAGCTTACTTTCATATCAAACTGTAGAAGAGCATTTCTCAGAGATGTCATCTGGGAGAAGGATTCTTCACATTGCTGTTTTTGCTGTACTTCAAAAAAACACAACCAAGCCCAAAAAATACAACAGACCTCTGTCCCATTGAAATGGGATGGGATACTCCATAAAAATACAGGAATGTGAAGTCATTCTGGTGAATTTTAGTGCATGTGTTGGACTGCATTGTGACATACCCTCTGAGGGTACAGAGAGGAGATGGATGATGTCCTCTGATTCTCCTGCAAAACCACCTACGTGTGTGTTCGCATGACTGCCATTTCCACCTCAGTGCACTGCAGAGTCAGAGAGCTGGAGGAGCCTAAGCTACAGTTTTATTCC